TACCCACTAAAGTGGCTGGTGAGTGTATATACTCTCAGTGGTATGTGCATGCCTGCATTCATGCTGTATACTGTATGTGTTGTAGAATGCAAAGGGAGTGTGAGCATTTGGAAAAATGGCTGCAAGCCGCTGAGGAAAAAGCGGTGAAGGAGGAAAATCTTGGTCTCCTGCAGGAGGAAGTACTTCAGCAAAGGTAAGGTGTTTTCTGGGTGAAGACATGTGATGCTCTGAATGTGATGTTTCAACACCTGTGGAAATTGTAAAAATCAACACTTCTTCAGATGTATTTATGATGTATTATCAGACAGTGTACAGGACAAAATGTACTGTGTATATTTTAATCAAGTTAATTTATAGACTTCTTACAATAATTCTTGTATCTAAAATTCATTTTTAAGTGACAGAACAAATCTGCCTGCACTTTGTCCAGGAGTAGTTTTCTTTAATAGTAGTATATATTCTTTTGAAAAGTTAAGGCATTAGGGTGGTATTCCTGATTAAACCAATAGTAATATCTTTTTAGGAAGATGTGTTCAGTTAGACCCAGAAAGACTTAACAAGGTAGTAAATTCGGTGCCAAGTCTGATCTGTACATGTACACCTAATCAGGAACATTAATGTTGTTGCAAAAAGGCTGGAAAATCATGGGCTTAGGTATAATCATCCATCAAATGCATGGTTTCACTATGAAACTTTGTTAATGACATCTAGGTGAATTTCTGTTTTGTTTTCTTCTTAACACATCTTGAGGCACATGTGACAGATTTCCCCTTTTTGCTTATAGCCTTTCCTTGGCAAAATTTATTTTTGTGCCCCTTATGAACATATGAAAGTGAATAAACTGTTACTGATCATCAGCCCTCTTTTCATTCCTTTTTCCTGCAGAGTGAGGACAGAGCTCCTCAGTCAGCTCGTATCAGCCTTGCAGAACAGCACGCTTCAGCAGTCTGTGCTGGTTGAAGAGAGTAGCAAACTGCTGGAACAGTACCACAACTTCCACACTAACATACAGTGTAGCTCCAAGGACAAACAGCAAACTCTGAGCAGGGACATTGAGGTATTTCAGGCTTTGTCTAAGTCCACACAAGCCTGGGTCGAAGATCTGAGACGAGCCGCCGACTCTCCACTTAGCCTTGGAATCCAGAGCCCTGTAGAGCAGAAACTTCACCGAGCTCAAGTAAGAAAACTTCACCCACTTCATTTTCTCTCCATATCTGGCAAATCATATTCTGCACCATATCTGAACATGATTAATTTTGCTTAGCTGTGATGACACCTCTGTGTCATCACAGCTCTGTTAATTGTTTTCATCTACATTTGTTCCAACTTGTCCCTAAAAGAGGAGCGTCTGTTGTGCAGAACTGATGACTGAAAAGCTCGGAGAATATTCCGGAGGGCGTGGTTATGTTGCAAAATTTCTGATGTCTGTTATACCAGCAGAATCCAGAGGGGTATTCTTTGTACGTTGCTAAACAGATCCTAGATGAAATGAACAATCCTGGATTTTCTAGTGATAAAGTTACCTGGATATTTCTGTTCTCCAAACCCCACCTGTGTTGTGGATTAGAAAAGCTGTATTAAGTCATCCAAGATAAGGTCGTGGTCTCATGGTCAGTGACTAGACTGTGATCAGCTGGTTTCTGATTGGCTGCGTCCAGATGTCTGGAGAGAGCGCAGTCTGTCACTGCAGCAGAGAGCTTCTGCTGGAAGGCGACCAAGAACTTAAATTTGATTTGCATGTAACTACAAAAGCAGAATTCTGCAAAATGCAGAGAGAAGTGGCTGACCAAAGGGTTCTGTCAATCTCTTAATACCATCTGTTTTCTTTAAACTGGTCTTATTATAATGGCTCCAATGTCAGCAAGTCGCTTCCTGCTCTGACACCCTTTAAATCTGTGAAGTTTTCTTGTTTCATAAAATAAGTCTGAGAACAAACCTGCTACCAAGCAGGTTTGAGATATGTACATGTTACCATGACAACAAGTCCCGTGAGACTTTCAAAGAACCAGCAGATCCAGGATAATGTGAAATTGTCACCAAAATTATCGGGCTAACTTCTTAATCTGTGTACAAAGGACACCCCCTAGTTCATGGCACTGTGTTCTGAGTAAGGTATGTACAGCTCTGTAAAAAATATTTTGCAGGCTTTGGTAAGTGTGACAGCAGAGGGGGAGGCTCGCCTTGAAGAGCTCAGAGTTACTGGAAATAGTCTAAGCCAAAGAGTGTGTGATAGAGTTGACTTGAAACAGGAAGTTAAAGAAACCATTCAGAAAACAGAGGAGCAGTGGACGAACCTTCTGCAGTCTCTTGAGCCTTATTACAGGTGAGTGGAGCCAATGATTGCAAAATGCAAGAAGATGATTACCTCGAATCATTTTATGGGTAATTCATGTCAGTAGTAATTCTAATCTCTTGGGGCTTCAGGGTTCTTCAGACTGGTTCAGAGCTCACCTCTTCCTACCTGGCCCAAAGACAGGAAGCCTGCTGCAGAGTGGAAGCGCTGCAGCGCCAGACTGCTCAGCTCCCCACTTTATTCCCTTGGCCTGGCACAGCAGAGCGTAGACACGCCTGCCTTCTAGCACGTCATCTGTGGGATGAAACAGAATCCCTGCAATTAACTCTTACCACCTTGGCTGAAAAGAGGAGAGACCTGGCTGAGCAAACAAACGACACTATCTGGAAAGACTCCTCCTGGGTGGAGCTGGACACCTGCTGGTCAGGACTCATGGCAGAACTGAAGGTAAAACTTCACCTTGGATATTTAAGTGGTATTCATTGTTTTTAGTAAATGTGTTGAGCCAGTTGTAACTAGTTAAGAAGTTTAAATAGTTAACATTAGCTAAAAGCTCAAGGTTTTGTCCTCCATGTTGGGGGACTCGCTCCTATGTAGATATAAAAGGCTCATTCTAAGCTAAAGAAAACACAATTATTCTTATTTTCTTGTGATTACACATTATTGAAAACAGAATTATGCATACTGTAGCCCATTTCTGTGAATAATTTCTTCTAGATCTTACACATTGCACCTTT